CAGGATGACCATCACATTGAAGTTCACTTTGAATTTTGATAGTATTAATCATAACATTTCCTTTATTCTGGGAAGAAATAATCAAACTTTCACTGACATTTGGAAATTTTTTCACTCTGACATCTGAAGGAAACTGATATTTGCAATCTAGCCTTTTTTCAGTTTATAATCATATTTTCCTTTTTGGTACAGTTGTACCAAATTACAGACAACCATTCTTTTCATTGGAGGAAAAAAAACTTGCAAATTTTAAATGAGATAAATTTGTTGTTCTCGAGATTCATGTTTCTTTCAATTCAATATAAAGTTTGCTCTTTTCACATGTTACCTCACAGAGCATGTGCTCCAAATGCCCTGAAAATCTAATGCCTTCCTCCTTTACTTTCTGTTATGGAACATTCTTAACTTACTCTAGAAATGCAGAGTTCACTTTGCGTTGAAAGAAGTCAGCCTGCTTCAGTCAGCGAACTGACGTACACTGAATCAAGCATGACCCCAGCTACATGTGCCCATTGATCTTCCAATTCCACTTCAGCCTCTGTGCAATGCTAAGTGTCTGCTGTTACAGCTGAAGCAGATGCCTGAGTTCACAAGACTTTAGAAACTTCTTGGTGACTATTTCTGTGTACCAGCATGGCTCCATGGATCAGGTGGGATGTGTAACTGTGTACTGGTTTAGGCAAAGACAGCATTATTCTTTTTCTTAGTTAAAATGGATTCAAATCACAGGGTAATGTTCTCTGGATAGGCAATAGGGAGAACAGCTGCTGCCTCGAAAATCAAAGCATTCTGCTGTTAGGATATCTTTATGAAGCCATATCAGTATATATTTCATTGTATGTCCCTGAGAATATTTGGGCTCAAGCAGGGTTATAAGTTAAGTTGCTGAAATACTGTGGTGAAAGTTGTCATCAAGCCCTTCCTAGTGTTCAAGTTGTTTTGGTACCTGCTGTCATGAGATTTTCAGGCTTGCAAACTAATTCAGACTTAGCCTGAGCTACTCTTTCAGGGATTTGCATCTCTCTTAGGCAGTTCTGCTAAAACTGACAGCAATCTTACTAATTTTTGCCAATCGTGGTAGACAGTTTCAGTGGTTTTTTTTTGTACTTAATATAAAGACGGTTGATTGGATTCCTGTATGTTCATTTTCGAAGACACTGAACTTTTCCCTGCAAGTAAAATTACATATCCACTTTAGTTTTTTGTCTAAAAACTTCCCAGTTTTCTGCAAATGTGATTACATTGCAGCTCTGTGCAGATACCAATTTTTCTTCTGCTGGGACATTGTGATGTCCCATCATGCTTCAGCCTGCCACTTAAATACCTATAGCACATTCCAGTCTCTTCAGTAGACTTAAAATGAAGCTGGGCTGCATTTATTTTGCATTTCTTTGCTGGTGTAAGAGGACTGAAATAGAAATGATGAGGAATGGATGAAGGTGAGAACAGAACGTGCTGAACAGTGGTAATCTCTGGCTGGCCAGTGACCCCTCTGGGTACCGTTATCGTCCAGTGTAATTCGGAGCAGCAGTAATAATTCATGTTCTGGCTTGGGTATAGAGGCAGAAGAAAGGGAACACATGACTTTCGTCTATGACTTACTGCTCTGTAAAAGGATTTTAAAGAATCTTTGGGGAGAAATTTAGGTCTCAGACGCACACATGTGGATCTCATTGATTTCATAGGAGACCATGCAAGTGTGTACATTAACAGACAGAATATAGCTTTTGATCTTTAAGAGCAATTAATATAAAATATGGAATTACACTACTGTGTAATAGGATATTTTTTACTACTTTGTTAAAAGTACTCCCCAAATCCAAATACAAAACAACGTAGCATCCCAGGCCAAAGTCTTATAAAGGCATATCTCCACCAACACTTGTCACTTTTTGACACTGCTCGTGTGTTTGAATGTTAGGCTTTGAACTTCAGTAAAACATTTGTACTTAATAAAAAAACAAGTCTTCCTGTCCTCACATCTGTCCAAGCTGGTGAATGGCCTTACAGTGGAAGGGGAGAGTTAACTGTTGTGACTCTGAAGGAATTCTTTTTTTGACCCTTTCCTGTCCCTGTGTGATGTGTTGACATGCATCCCAATCACACAAATATGCAAGCATGGAGCACTTAAGAACACATTTATGGTTCTGAGATTGCAGGTTACCAGGTACCTATCATAGCTAATACCTGATGGAGGCGATGAATTTAAAAAAATCAGTGTTGGCTCAGAGCTTGCAAGGATGTATAGGACTGATAGCTTAGAGGTAAATAAGTAGAGTCTACACCTTGAAACTACTGTGGTCACATCTACCTGTGAACGGATAGTAATAAAATGCAGTGATCCTCAACTGGAAGTGTTTTTGCTTTTATTCTGCCTACCTGAAACGTTCATTGTACTGGACTGACAGATGAATTCACTGTGAAATTTGAAACAGCTTCTGCCTGGAAAGCTTCCCACAGACAGAACCTAGGCAAGTAGGTCCAAAATGAGCAACAGGCATTCAATAAAGCCTACAACAGATTCTCAGTTGGAGCAGCAAGCTCTTCCAAAAGTTTCTTTATGAAGTGAAATGGTACAATGTGCTTCTCACAGAAGAAGCTTCTATAAGGTCTTTTCTTGTCTCTTTATTAACCTGTTGATTTGTAAATAAAAGAGAGCTAAATTTTAGGAGCTACTTTGTCCAATCTTAGGATTGTTGTCTTGGAACAAGAATTTATGTGTTTCCATTTGAAATAGACTGTGTTCTTCTTCCTTATACCCCCACTATAAATACAGAATGCAGTTCTCCTGAAAGGTATCCATTGGTCTCCTTGTTTTCTTGAAAAGCCATGCTTTTGTTCCTGCTTTTAAAATTAAGTATCTCAATCCTTGTCTGAAGTGTTCAATAGACATTCACCTTCAGGCAACATCTGAATCTAGAAAAATTCAATCTGATGTTCTAGATGAAATTTTAGGAAATTATGAATAAAGAAAAACAAAGTAAAAAGGAAATGTGCATTGGATTTCAATGTTACTCTGTATATTACAGTATTTTGGTTGTGCTAAAGCTCTAAGTTTAATTGACTGATTTTTTTATGTTGAATTTCACAGATCACCACTGAAGTTGTCACATTTTGTAAAGAGCCATCTCGCTCAATGAGTTTTGATTTTGTTTGTAGTTTTTGTTTAGGTGATTGTGTCAAATGTCACTTATTCCATCTAGGTCTACATCTATAAAAAATTAATATTATTTTTTTAATTTAAAAATCTGTTGTGTAAAATGGCTTTTTAAACCCCTTCCCTTCAAAGAAAAATGCTGCCTATGAAGATTTGCTGAAAAAAATGAAGCTGCAGAGAGATTTGAAATTAGAAAAATATATATCCTCTTATCTATCATGTCCTGTTGGACTACTAGAAAATGTTCATTTTGTAGCAAATTGCTGCAAAGTCAGAAGTGAAGAACAGAATATTATGACTGGTAGAAACATATCAGCATAGCTTGAGACCATGTATTACCTCACAACGTCCATCCACTGTCCTCTTTGTAGTTGGAAGACAGGGCAACAGGTTACTCAGAGAGGTGGTGGATGCTCCATTCCTGGAGACATTCAAGGCCTGGCTGGACCAGGCTCTGAGCGATCTGATCTACCTGTAGCTGTCCTTGTTCATTGCAGGGGAGTTGGAAGGGACCTTTAAAGGTCATCTAGTCCAACTCTATGGAGTCTACGATTCTATGGTAAGACATACATGCAGCACTTTGGAGAGAGAGCAGCCAAAACTAGGATTATGCACAATGCTGTATTTTAATGATCCTTCTTGGAGTAAAATCCCTGGTATCTGAGTTCTGTGTTTGTCAATTACCCTAACTTCTGATTCACACAAATGGAAATTACTAAGATACAACCTTACAAAGTTTATTTACTCACAGCATATTAATTTCTTCATAGTCTAAATTATACAATTTGCAGCATGATTTGGCACATAAATATAGCAGAATTAGTTATTTTACTGATTCAGTGCACAGTATTTTTTAGAACACAGAAGAAAACAGTGTTCAAGTAGACTTTGGAGTATAGATCTGAACTTGTTAGCTGGAGTTCAGATGTTCCACCTTGGAATTATATCTCATTTGACAGATTAATTACAGAGGTAGATGAAACATTTAAAAAAATAAATAAAATTATCTGTGTTGTGTTGTATATAGAAGTGGAGATAGAATCTACCCTCATTCTTTCCCAGCTCCAGGAAGATTCTAGTTAGTATTTTGGGTTGGTTCTTTCTTTTATTCATATTAAGAGAATAAAGTAGGGAAAGCCTCAGGGCAGCATAAGCCCTGTGGCAGATTCACAAAAGTAGATGCAGATAGATATTTTTTTAATTTTGTTCCTTACAAGTGGGAGAAGATGCTGAAGGTAGCTTTTCTAAACATCAAAGGTGCAGATGAAGTTTACTATTCTATTGGATATTTAAGTTGGCTGCAGTATTTTTTTTTTTCTGAAAGATGAGGTCAGCATAATTAAATATAAGTGTATATTAGACACTTAAATCTACAGCTTCTGGCTGCCTTTATGCTTACCATTCAGATGGTGCCAAAAGCTTATTTCATCTTGGGTTCATGCATCTAAAGTTTATTTAAGCTTGTTTTCTCTGAAGAAAAACACATATGTATTGGAGTCCAGAATGCCCTGCACTCTTTTGGGAGCTGTATTTGCTCCTTGCTGATTGACAGAGACAGGATGGGCCATTTGTATCATCCCCGTATATTGAGTAAATCAGGTATGTTTGGATCTGTGGTTGAAAAATGATGTCATCCAATCCCGGTTTTCATTTTGGTGCTCAAAGATGACATAAAAGCTCAACACTAGGGAGGAATATTCTCTTAATAAGGAAGGGGGGGAGGCAGGGGGGGTGAAGTCAGCACTTCACTTCTCAGTGATTGGGATTCACTCTGTTGTTGCTGGGTGAAACAGAGTAATGCTGTTGCTGCTCCTGCTTCTTCACAGTGATGTTTCTGTTCCAGTTTTTGCTGACTCATATTCGGGAAAACATGATGCGCAGACACAATGCACTGTAACTCTTTTTCTTTCCCCCACTAACCTCGGTAAGTATTCTTTTTTTCCTGTCTATGGCTAGCATAGTACTATTATCGCTCTGCTGATAGAGTTAGTAGGAGGGGAGAAGGCAACCTTGTAAACAAACTGCTAGCAGACAGATTAATCTCAGAGAGGGCATTTAAATGAAACCTGCTGTTTGTGGTACATCCACCTCTTTAGGGCAGATCAATCCTGATAACTCACCCGTCTCTACGAACTACACTTGCTAGAGCTGTGTTCTTAAATGGGAGAAGTGCTTACAATAGCCATTTACAACTGTATTCTGTTTAATTAGTCAGCAAAGCCAGTGCTGCAGGGATAGATCACTTTGCTTTAAAGATTTGAGAATGTTAATAGTACAGTATATCATTTTAATTATTATTGGATTAATGTTGTGTCTCGAAGAACATCCAATGCAAATCACAAGAAATGGCCTGAAGTGACCCAAGGGTTGTGCTTTATTAGAAAATTAATAGGTCCATTGGTTAAATACAAGGAGAGGTTCTTTCTTCAAATGTCACTCTGCATAGGTCTGCTGTGTGTGTGCCTCTGTGTATGTGGAAATGAAATCCTCTTGCTTCCACTTTGTCCACAGAAAGTTTCTGTAGCTCATGCAATAAATGGCTGAGGAAGCATGTGCAGTAACAAGAGATGAAGAGGAGACCCAGAAAAACTGTGATGAAGACCCATTTCGTGATGCTGAAACAGCATTCCCTGATTGCTATGCCAGGCTTAGTGAAGGCAACAGAGGCTCAGAGATGCCAGAAAGACTGTCTGTCCTCTCTAGCAAGGCTGTGGCCCAAGCAAAAGCACTTGCTGGACCATCAGCGGTCATCACTGGCAACCAGGCACAGAGCAAGGCCAAGCACCACCTCATAGCTGTCAGTGCTTCAGCAGGAGGCTCGTCCTGCTCTACAACAGTCTGTAAACCCAAGCCTGGGGGCCTTGCCTCACCATGCTCTGAAAGCATCTATTGTAGCTGTGAGCAGGATTCAGAAGCATCGTCTGTCCGTGGGGTGCCTGAGGAGGCTGGTGAGCCCCCCAGGGCAGTCGTGGCCCTATTGGTGAACAACCTCAGGTGCTGCCACGTGCCAGCCGATAGCGCGTGGCCTGTGGAGAGCTGCACTGAGGGCAGCCCTTGCAGTCTGAGCTCGGCCATCTGGATGAAGACCACAACAGTAATGGAGACTCTAGAAAGTAAGAAAAAGGAGGAGAAGGAGAAGTACCGGCTCCAGCTAGCAATGTACCGAAGACTCCTGTTGTTGCGTTCAATCAGGAGCTTGCACAAGCAGCTGGAGCAGCAGCAGGCCAGGTTACAGGAATGCTATGGCACGGTCATAAATACCAAGAAAGAAGTGTTAAAACACATTCGTTCAACCTTGCCCTCTCCTTCTCCATAATCATGTTGCTGCATGCAGAAATGAGCTTTGTAATGCCACTGGAGCCGTCAGTAAGCTTGCATGCCATGTGATGGTTTCTTCTGAGCCAAGAGAACGTGCCCACATGTGCTGAGAGCAGAGAGGAAATGGCAACAGCAGTGCAAGAAGAAAGGAGAAGGCGAAGCTTTGGCCCCTGAATTTGTCTGCAGGGAGCTGGAATAAGATTATATCTGCAATAAGGTAATGCCTGATGTGCACTCAAGGCTTCAAGGTCATGTATGACATGAAATAGAGGAAAAAAAAAGGAAAAAAACTGAGAACATAGTCTGACGTGATCAGTAAAGGTGATTTGATGCCAGAGTTGCTGCCTGCTAAGTATGTGATACAGCACATCTCCCTCAGCCTTCTAGTGCTAATAAAATGAGCAAAATTAGGGTTCAGTTCTCTTCAAGAACTCAGCAAGCCAGGATATTAGGAGCACTTAAACTCAGGCTTGATGATGTCCACTGAGCTGCCCGCTTCTCAGAAAACTGCTAAAGCTATTGCATGTTTGTGACCTCTACCCTCCCACTAAAAAAAAAAAAAAAATTTTTAAAGTTTTCAAATTAACTAGAAATCTTTCAGGGAGGTAGAACAGTCAAACACATGTACAGAGAAACTGTGCAATTGCCTGAGCCTCATCAGAAAGGCAAGCTAAAAACAAAGGCCTCGTAATCTGGCATTATGTTGGAAGCTCAGACTGTCAGTGCCAGGGGAATGTTTGAGGTCTGCACAATTATTAATCTGCTGCTAACTCCCAGTGGCACTTGTGTCTGCAAATCAAGCACATTTTGTGCCTTACTGCTGTCATTTAATGGAAGTTGGTGACAATTAGCACTTTTTATCCAGGTGTATTAGATGCCTGGAAAACCCTAGAGCAGCTTCTCCAATTGCTAGGTTAGGATGCCTGCAGGAAATTTGATGTCAGTAAGCAACAAACAAACATAGAGAAAAATAAAGAAAAAAGATGCGACTTCTTTTTATGCATTAAAAAGCCAGTCTGGGTCCCTATTATCGAACAGCAAATTGAATTGTTGAATGTGCTGTCTTAGAGTCTGAAACAAAAATTATCTAAGAAGAGAAGATATTGAAAAGCTTCCCTTTCTGGGACTTAGAGTGGCATAGAAAAATCTTTTTTTTCTCTTTTTTTCTTCAGATACCTATTTCTGATGATGCCAACTTTTCTTTTACCCTGTTGTTCTTTGTTACAAATGTGAGAGTAGATTAAGTAGATGAGCAATCAAACAAGTTTTTGGCATGGATTTGTTTTGTTTTGGTTTTGGGTTTTGTTTTTGGTTTTTTTTTGCATGAAAAGGCAAGTCTGTTACTAGAAGTCCTACCTTTCTCAGAATAGAATTCTATATATGGGATTTTTTTTTCCCTTGGCTTTTTTGTGCGCTCAAAGAGGGAAGGTATCTGTGTTTGTGTGCACACAAACACATGCACCTACATACAAGTGAGCCCCAAAGGCTGGCACTTCTTTTTCTGTAGTAGAAAAAGGAATAATCTCTCAAAATAATCTTTGCTGTCTTAGAGGAGTTGCTTGATTAGATTCACATGTACACATCTGTGAGCAAGGTATTGAAGTAATTTAACAATTGAAGTGCAGCACAACATTGTTATTATTCCATCTTTGTATTTCCTTGCACCCAAAATAATGGAAGCCCCCTGGGTATGCACAAGCTTAGATAGGCTTATTCATCTCCTTGGGCCCTTGCACAGCCTCTTACACAGCACAAGCCTGTAATTTTGTATGCAGAATTACCATAGAAACATTCTTGGCATCAAGGAGATATTCGAAGGAGCATCCTGTACTGTCTCATCTGGGGGATTTGGGTTGAGGCGGCTGTCAGTAGGCTGCCAAAGATAGAGCTGGGGGTCCATTGACTGGAGGACATTACTCCTATGCCCTGATCTCACCCAGCTCTGTTCAGCCTTGGGAAAGCTGGTCTCAGCCAGTAACTCACATTACCAAAGAACACTAAACTCACCTCAGAGGTAATCTTGTCCTTATTATGCCTCCTAGGAAAGAAGAATGATCATGGCCAAGAGAACTATGCAAATATTTGATTTTTAAAAAAATATTATTATTATTTTAACTTTTTTTTTCAATTGCCCCCAAACAACCCCTTTTTTTTTTCCCCATTAATTAAGAGTGAAAGTAAGAGTTCTATTAATACAGACACAAGCAGACCATTATTAGGTTGTCTCTCGTTGGGAAGGAAATATTGGAAAAGGGGTGCATCTCTCAAAAATAAACAAATGCAAGATTACTGAATTCTGAAATTAAATGTCAAACTATTTCCATTAGGATGAAAATTAAAATTAAAAAAAAAAATTGTTAATTCCTCTTTGTAGATCATTTTGGCCTATTTTTTTTTTTTTTTTTTTCTGAATAAGGTTCAGCTTTGCTAACACTATCATGCTGAATTTTCTGCTGACATGAAATACATGTGCACAAAGCTAAGGTGATGTAGATATTTTGCCTCAGTAGCTGCTGAAGTAATGTCCTATCCGTTACTATATAGAGCTATCAATTCTTTTTAAAGGTGACTAGAAGATCACTGAAAAATATTTCTTACAGCGTCCACGGTGTGGCAATAGTTCATTTGTCAACCTGTATAACTGAAGTACTTTGTGGCAGAACTGTGACTTTTTTTTTGTATGACATCTCTTGTAACATTTCATGGTTCTTATTGGAATCAGTAGATGCTTCTGCACTATGAATATTAAATGTCAAGAAGTCTGTGCTTGAGCAATGCTGCCTGGCAAGAAAACGAAGCCAAGACTTGTTTTGTGTATGCACAGTCTTTCCATGTAGTGATTTTATGGATACATGCAAAATAAATGTTAACTGAAGAATTAACAAGAATGCTTGTCTTTGCAACAGTTTGCTGGTTACCTGGTGGTTCTAGTGTGTCTTCTAATAATTGAGTTTGGCCAAACCAATTAAAAGCAATAGGATTTTATAATAAACATATTTTACAAGCTTGGACAATATGCTTTAATAGCAGTGCTTTTCTCCTGTGTATGCAAACAGTTGAAGGATAATGCTGAGTAACCCAGGGAGGTATTTTCATGTACACCAGACAAAGCAACAATCTCAGTTTTAATAAAAATGTATCTTCTCAACTATTTCATCTCTTTGTATGGTTAAGAGGTTTGGTGGTTTGGATGAGGTTCAACTAAATTTCTTAAGGTTTGTATTTCTTTCTGAACTCAAACTACATGAGCTTAGTTCTAATCAGAGGAATAAGCTGGAACTACTGACGCTTCATATATGTATGAAAAAACTGTCAGGTCTTGGGTAATGGTGACAAATTAATCAATTTCAGTAGGGTCTTTCTCCCCATTATATTACTGCCTGCCAGAGCATATCAAGCTAACAATCTCTAGGAAAATCTCTTTGAGCCAATGTCTTGTTAACTACTTCCACAGCAAAGGTTGAAGTGAAATTGCACTGTCCGATCCTCGAGGTCCCACTGCTCACCTAATTGCCTAGCTAGGCTGATATGGCAGGAAATAAATGGATTTACCATGGAAGAAAGAGATGTTCAAAAGATACTGGCACCCTCAGTCATTACTGTCACTAAGGAAGTTGCAGCATATGCCTACCGAAAGACAGATATTTTTAAGAACTTTATCTTTTATAAGCAATTAGTGATAAAATGCATTACCGAGTTGGTCTTCAATGCAAGGTCCTCTGGCATTTTAGGTGCTGTCCTGGAGACTTGTCACAGCTGTCCTTTTTGCTATTTCTGTTGTTGATTGCCGTGATTCTATGAGCGGATGGAACATCATACTATGTGAGGGGTGAGCTCACTTTGTCTCTGAAATTTTGTGTATTTCACATTGCTTAATTAGAACAATGGTGGCTTTACCCACTAATAGTACATTTTTGAGGTAAACTTGTGAGCTATGCACTACTTAATCCAGATCATCCCGTGTTGTGTTGTTCTTAGCTATATGAAATGATGGACTCTGGTCATGACATAAATACATGAAAGATTTAAAGATGAGGATGTTTACTCCTAGCTGATGAGTAGACTTAGAAAAATTCTAGAGATTGCTTGCTACAGTTTCTCTCTATGAATTCTGTGAAACTAGAATAAAAATGCTGTGAAGTGCACGTTCTGCTTATGACTCTTGAAAGCGATGCAGTAATGCAAGAGTGAATGTCAGATATACTTGAATGGGGCTCTACTCTGAACATGCTGGCCAAGGAGTAAATTTTCCTCAACCAAAAGCTCAGATGAGCATGATAGCCAAAAGTTCAGATATTGGGTAGATAAAAAGAGTGAATGGAACTAAAGTAAATAAACAAATAAAAATCAGGGTTTGATATTTAGTGTTGCTGAGATCACATGTATGCCATTTGTCCCAGTTGGCCTAGCGTTTGCCTAATTTGAAACATGTTGAAGTCAAGCTTTCAGACATGTTAGAATGCAGCCCAGTACTTTGATGTGGTGCTCCTTGTTGAATGCTCTTGGGGACTGATATGTCTCACTCCTGGTATCTCAAAACAACCATAAATTTTTTGGATGGTACTCGTCTTTGTCTTTCTGGGAAAAGATTTGGAAGCAGATAAGGATCATACTATGAGTTCCTTGCCCTGTTGAAGAAAGGAGCAGGTAGTCATCATTTGTTCTTAATGAAAACTTATCACAGGAAAAAATGGCTTTGTGAAAGCATTTCTAAGAGTTTAGTGAAATAACAGTAGTTCTTACAGAAATAAAAATCTATCTGAAAACAAGTTTTTCAAGTTACACTGATCATCTTCAGTGATTTTAGTCAAGTTTCTGAAGCCATAAGTGTTGCCTTCATCTCTGACAAATGAAGTATCTAAGTCAGCGGCCCAAAGTGAGTTCTATTTGCAAAGAGTCAAGGAATTCTTGAGAATCTCAATAAAAGTTACAGTCTCCCTTTGATTAGTGGGGGTTGGAGAGGAAAGGGAATGTGTGACCATTCATCACAGCTCCAGCCTCATTAGTACCCAGGAACTTTCTACTCTAAATGACAAAGAGTTTCACTGTCGCCAAAGAGAAATTGCTGCTGACCTTAGACCTCTTTTTGGAAAGTAAAATAATGGAGCACAGGAGCAGAGTTTGATATTTGACTGAATTCTACACAATTATCATGCATGTGTATATAATAAAATTAATTCTGTGTCTCTGCATTGTAGCCTCCGGCAAGCAGCGTACAATCAGTTTTGTATGTATAATAGATCACAGAGTTGTTCATGAATAATACAAATGCATTGAGCAGATACTAGTGAGTGAGGATGTTTGTCTTTGCATGGAATCGAAGTGAACATGTAATATTGTGATAATATATATTTGATGAATTCAGGTCTGACTTGCCTTTGCCATAGCCTGCTAATTCCTTGACAAGGGTTGCCACAATAATTGAGTTTCCAATAACATTATGATTATTTCCACATGATAATTTAATTGTAGGTATTTTTTAATATTGTAATAATGTAGATTTGTGATTATTATGCATTTGCATGCAGATTTTCATGGTGACTTGGAG